GCTGGTGTATTAGAAGGTCATAAATCAGCATCATCTTGAAGTGATCACCAACACAGATGCGGGGCCAGCAGGTGGGTTCTGTGAATGCACAGATGATCACTTGAAGAACAACAGTTACAGGTAAGCAACCTACCTTTCTTCATCATGGTCTCTGTGCATCACACATATCGGTGACTAGCAAGCTTACCATACCTAGGAGGTGGGAACGTGTTGTCAGTGTAGGATGACAGAGTGGACAGCACATCCAAATGAGCAATCCCTTCTGGTTTTAGTGTTAAGATGGTTGGTTGTACCATATAAAACTGCATGGTGTTGCCCACGTAGCAGCTCTGCAGAGATCTTACAGGGCAATACCAGCATGTAATGCTGTGGAGGTTGAGACAGCCCTAGCTGAATGTCCTTTTGGGATGACTGGAAGTTCTATTTTAGCAAGTTGATAGGTGAGCTTGATGGTTTCAACCATCCATTTGGATAGGCGTTGAGACCCTATTGGTGTTCCTTTGTCATGACTGGAGTGTTGGATGAAGAGTTGTTTAGTCTTTCTGAACTGCTCTGATAGAAAGCCAGCGCTGTCTGGACATCTTGTGTGTGAAATGATCTTTTGATCTGTATAGGAGCTGGAAAGTAGGCTGGTAAGACAATGTCTTGGTTCGGGTGAAATGGTGTGACTACTTTGGGTAAAAAGCTGGGATCTATGCGTAAGATTACCTTTTCCTTATGAAAATTCAGGTATGGTGGGTCTTTCTGAAGAGTATATAGTTCTCTTGCCCTGTAAGCCAATATGATAGCCACCAAGAAGGAAGTTTTCCATGAAAGCACCCTTAAGTCCGTCATTGCGAGTGCTTCAAAGGATGGCTTGGTTAGCGCTTGAAATATTACAGACGTGCTCCATGTTGGGACTAATGACTGGATTGGTGGATTTAGGTTCTGTAGGCCTCACAGGAAGTGGCACAGTAGTTGATGAGAGAAGATGGAGGATCCCTCGATTTGTCCTCTGTGATACAATATAGCTGCCAAGTATACTTTAATGGATGTCGGTTTTAGTCAATTGGTGTAGGGACAGAAGGAACTGTAAGATGTTTTGAACTGTAGCCTTTGATGCTGCAAAATTGTGATTAGTACCAAAAATCTCGAACCTGTTCCATTTCAGTGCATATGACCGCCTAGTGTTTGGGTGAAGAGCTGATTGTAACATGGCTTGCATTTCTGGATCCAGTTATTGTTCTGTGGCAGTCATTGAGTCAACCATGCTGTCAGGTTGAGGGTGTGAACATCTGGATGAAGGATTCTGCCTTGATCTCTTGAAATCAGATCTGGTGAATTGGGTAGGTGATACAATGTCCCCTGAAACAAGTCTAGGAGTATTGGGAACCAAGCCTGGTAAGGCCACCACGGAATTATTAGGATGAATTTGGTTCTCTCCTGTCTCAGTTTGGTTATAGTCTTGGTTATCATCAGGATCAGTAGGAACACATAAAAGAAAGCATTGTTCCACTGGATCGTAAATGTGTCTCCCAGTGAGTTCTGTCCAACTCTAGCCTTCAAGTAGTAGAAGTTACAGGCTTTGTTGAGATTCTTGGTGAATAGATCGATCATTGGTGTTCCCCAGCAATTGAACAGTTGAAGGCGGATGATCCAATTCAGTTCCCACTTGTGGTTGGAATTGGTATGGCAGCTTAGAAAGTCTGCCTCGTCATTCTAGGTACCAGCCACATGTACAGCTTGCAAGTTGATATTGTGGGGTATACACCAGTTGCAGAGGTGCATTGAAAGCTGAGCTAGTAACACTGATCTCGTCCCTCCTTGTTTGTTGATGTAGAAGATTGTGCACGTGTTGTCCATCACTATCTAAATGTATTGGTCCACTACGATGTCCTGGAACAAGTGAAGAGCCTAATACTGCAAGTAGCTCCAAGTAATTTGTTTTGTCAGCTCGTGTTTGCCACCTTCCCTACATTTGATGTGGTCCAGAGGGCTTCCCATCCAATTCAGGATGCATCAGTATGTACAGTCACTGTCGTGTTCAATGGTTGAAACAGAATGTCTTAATCTAGGTTGGTATCGGTTGTTTACCAGGAGGACATTTTCAAGACTTGACGAGGGATTTTGACTTGTCAGTATGAATTGTTGTATTCATGGTAAATTTAGTTGAACCACAGTTGCAGTGGCTTCATATGTAACCTTGCATATTGGATTACTGATACTGTGCATGCCATGTATTCTTTTTAATCACTGTATGGTAACTAAGGAAAATGCTTCTGTATTGTGCCCCATGTATCACTGATGACTTTCCTGACATTTTGGTGGCTGGTCAAAACATTTACTTACCTGAGCATTTCAAACAAACTGTGTTATAGTTTTTACTGCTTTTTATTGTTTTATGAGTGTACATATTTATTGTTCTCTGCCTTGGTATTTTTGGATGAAGATTGTTTATAAATACCCAAAATAAATAGTCAAATGAATTCTTTAAAAAGTTGTGTGCTGCTCTGCTTGCACACAGCTGTTAGATACCCAAGAATCTTTGGGTGCCCTTGAAGGGCTAGCAATTGCCTGTTCAGCTTAAAAACTAGGCAAAAATGGATGGCACCTCCAGATGCTCTGGTACTTGCCTCCATGGATTCTAAGCTCCATGGATTCTAAGACAACTGCCTAGGGAAGTGCACTCCCTAGTGAAGCGATGTTCTGTCCCTTTGAACTGCAAGGAAATAATGAGGATGGAGCAACAAAGAAGCCAATAGAGAAAGCCTTGGGTGGGAAATGAAACAGCACTTTCAAAAAGAAAGCACTATGTACCATGCATGCCTGTGTCCACAGTTTAAATATAACCCTCTAAATTGAGACTTAAAGGTATATCACTTAATCTGGGGAACCAATTTTTCAAAAACCAATGGAGAAAGATCCACTCTCAGCAAATGCTTGACTCTTTGACTACTGAAATGCTGTAAAGACTAAAGGGTTTGTCTGTCAGTTTTCAATCCCAAACACTTGACACCTGCTGTTCAAAGAAAATAATGTTAAGTACTACAACTCAACTGCTCATATTGATTGTTCTGAAATTTAGGCAGACCATATTGTGCCTCATTTAAGTTTCATGACGACACTTTTTCATTTTATAAAGCAAATGGCAAAAACAATTTTTAAAACCACATGCGCCATCTTTACTAAACAGGCACTCCTGTACCTGTATTGTTACAAGACATGATTTCTAAAAGCTCCAAGAACCACTTAAACAGTTCTTTGGAAAATCATAGTGCACAACAGTCATTGTGTTATTTCTATGAACTCCCACAATGTTAGGCATATCATTTATTCCAGACAGAAACATAGTTTTATGGTTGAGACAAACACACCTTGCATTTTAAATAGGCTAGAAATCACCTAACTTTTTTACACAAAGTATTCTCCTACAGAGAGGGTAGGGTTCCTGCCTGAAGGAAGCTATTGTACAGCCCCTCTTCAAGAAACCTATTTTAAATTCCCTGAAACTTAACAACTTTAGATCAGTCTCACACATTTCTTTGTAAGGTGCTATCAAAGGGTGGTATCTCTCCATCTCCAGGCAGTCCTGAGTGATACTGATTTTCTGGTTCCATTTCAAACTGGCTTCGGAGCAGGTCATAGAGTTGAGACTGTTTCGATTGCTCTAGTGGATCGTCTATGAGTCATAACTGACAGGAGCATTGATTCTGTTAGATTTCTCAGTGGCCTTTGATACTATTGACCACAGTATCCTTCTGAATCATCTGAGGGTGTTAGGAATTGGAGACACTGCTTTGCAGTGGTTCCTTTCCTACCTCTCAGGTTGGTTCCTGGTCATGGTGCTGCTTGGGGACTGTTGCTCCTCTAAGAAGCTGATTTTTGGGAGTCCCATAGGGCTCCATTATGTCTTCAATGTCGTTTAACATCTACATGAAGCCACTGGGAGAGACCATCTGGAGAAGTGGTGCCGGATGTTATCAGTATGCTGATTAACACCTAGATCTACTTCTCCTTACCATCATCTGCTGCTGCTGCTAGAGACAGCATTGCCTCTCTGAAATACTGACTGAAGCTGGTAATGGGCTGGATGAGAAAAAAACAAAATTACACTGAAGCCAAACAAAATGGATATGTTTGCTGTTAAGGGTCTGAATCCAGGATTAGAGGTGTGTCTACCAATTCTAGATGGAGTCACACACACTCTGAAAGACTGTGTTCACAGCTCAGATAGAAGCTGGTCAAAAGTGTCTGCCATCAGCTTTGGCTGATTTGCCAACTGCATCCCTTCCTGGAGAAGAATGACCTGAAAACAATAGTGCACATCTTGGCAACTTCTAGGCTCAATTTCTGCAAAATGCTCTATGCAGGGCCACCCTTGTGCCTACTCTAGAAACTGCAAATAGTACAAAATATGGCAGCCAGGCTAGTCTCTGGGACATCATGGAGAGACCATATATCACCTATTTTAAAGTCTTTGCACTGGCTGCCAATGCATTTCTAGACACCGTACAAGGTACTGGTAAGCCTTTAAGGCTCTTCAAGGCTGAGCCCAAAATACCTTCAGGAGCACCTTTGCCCAGACATTCTGCCTCACCAGCTAAGGTCTTTTGGGATAACCTTCTGAAGTCTGCTTCTGTAAGATTAATGTCACCTATCCAGAGGACTTTCTCAGTGCTTGTTCCTATGTTGTGGAATGGTCTGCTGAGAAATTCATCTGATATCCCAGACCACCATGTTTAAAAGGGAGTTAAAAATGTTACCTCTTCTGATAAACCTTCCTAGATTAGTTCTCAAATCAGTTTTACGTACTATGTTGTCTTTAGTCAATTTTAATCACTGTTGCTTTAAATTTCTTGTACACTGTCCAGAGTTTATGGAAATGGGGTGGTATAAAATATTAAAATAAATTAAAATAATATACGGCTTCTCTTAAAACAAGTTCTATTTTTACCAAAAAAGGGCAATGTTAAAAAGAGGCATAGCATTTTTATTTCTATTATTTGATCCCCAATATTAATGGAAATCCAATTTGTTGATGAATAACTTTTTATATAACATTAGGTATTAAAAAAGAATCATTTTGTCATTTTATTCACTTGGAACTGTAATCATTTTTAAACATTACTCACATTAGAATTATACATTAAAATGATTTCATCAAATGAGTTCCTTTATAAAATCATATACAATGAAAATGTACAATCAATTCTTTTGGAAATTGCCAATGTATTCTTGCTAAGACATACAGCAAGAAAACAGACATAAAACAGCCCCACAGAGTATAGGTTGTTGCATATAGTTTAAGGATACACTTCTTTCAAAAGACCCACACAGTGCATGGATCTGAACACGCTCCCCACTGGAATGGTTTTTTCAAACACTTGCCATAGAATGGATGCTTTCTCGTATTTCAGAATCAGACGCTATTGTGTCATTTCTAGAGGGAGCACTTTGATGTATACTTTGATCTCCTCTAGCAGCAAAGTTTGCAGTATAAGGAAGTCTTTTTGAAGTTACTTTACTGTTTTCACTAGTTGGGGCACTGAATTTGTTGCTATACCCACCACACACATTTACACTGGAATCAGAGATTGAATGCTGACTAGTAACTGGTTGCCTCACAGATGAATCTCTTGCTTCCAATTTCACAGGTTGGCCACACTTTTCAGAAGGTTCCTCCTGGATGATTTTTGATGCATTTTCTTCCATTTTCCAACTGCCAATTTTTCCTTCAATGTCTTTCCATAAGCTTTGTGGGGGCTGACCAATGGCCTGAAGCTCTTGCACTTTTGTTGTAACAGGCAGGACATTATTTGCACTTTGACTTAGACCTAAATTAGACTGGAAGTAGGTGGGGCCAGGAAGGGCAGCTGATCCAGCATTCTAGGAAGAAAAAAAATCAACATCAACTGAACCCTAGCAGTTCTGCTGTATTTAAAAGCTTAAGAAGAATTGAAAGAGAAATGCTGCTCCACCTGTTATAAGACACTGTAAGTTTGCTCAGAATTGACTGCCTGTTTTTGGTTTCTTTATTCACACTGAAAAAGGGAAGGTAGCAAAAAAGCATAAGAATACACAAGTTCTTATGCTACCTTACAAATGTTCAGCTAACACTTTTTTTCTTTGATTGCTGGCTCATTTATTATTACTAAAGAATTTTGATAGCATATATTGATGTGAATCTCAAGAAAGACAGTTTCCTCACATTTAAGAGTTCAGTGCTTTGAAGTACAGGTCATTTGTACATGACCACTTAGCATGTCAGAGCAAAGTACTGAACTAAAGGGACCTTTTAACCACCACAATCCAGGCAACATTAGGATAATTAAGGTATGCACATTAATTATCTACATAGCTATTCCCTGAGCTATGGAACTTCCTTCATGTGTAGGTCTGAAGATCAAATATCATTTAGAAGTACTCCATGGCCTTAGCATTTCAGCTGGCTTTTGAAGACCAGAGTCCAGCTATAAGAGTAAAGCCTCATAATTTTGTTATTTGTAATTTTCATACACACTGATACACACACACACACTCCTGTAACAGTTTCTATTACATTTTAAAGGATTTCATAGTTCTAATGTTTTTAAAGTTCTGTTATTAAATCATTCAGCATTTCACTGCAAGCTTTACAGTCAAGGTTTTAAAAGACAAGCACTTTTTGGAAAGTATTTGAAGCACAGTGTCCTAGCATGGAGACATTTAAGAGCAGCCTCTGTCAAGTTTGGTAGTGACAGGAATTGCACACAAATGATGGAGTGCTCCTCTTCTCCTCCTCAAGCCCCTATCAGACTAGTAACTTTTCTGAACTTGTTTACAAGGATATACAAATGCATAAAGAGAAAGGGTAATGTTAGAAAAGAAAAACCATGCAGAAAGGCTTTGAGATAAGAGCAAAAAGGGTACCAAGAGTCATTAGTTTTGGCAGGCAGTATTCCTCTCTTATTACTACACTTACTTTGAAATTCTCCATGTGCTCTTGTCTTTCTTCTTCAAATGATTTCTCTTTTTGTGTTATTGCAGGTTTAGCTAGAGTTGAACTCATCTGGGGGTGATGTAATAAGCCAAAATCTGATTGGTCTATCCCAGCCATTGCTGCAAGCTGTCCAAGCCTACATGAAACAAGAAATAATATGCTAAATGTAGCTGGTCAGAGTATAAGTGACATTATATAGATAAATATGATAAACTCATAATTTAATGAGTTTTTTCTATAACAAGAACAGTAAATAAAAGGTCAACTTAATACAGTGCATGAGGAATCCAGTTTGGGAGTGAGAATTCATCAGATTTCTTCAGTTTTGCTCCCCAGACACCAGCCCATTTCCTCTTTGCCCTAAATCCACCTCATGTTGAGAATTGGTGTGAATGTCTGGCAGGAAGAAAGTCCAAGTGTTTCTGTGAGGCCGGCTTGTGTACATGCTGTCCATATGCCTCCTGTGCAAGCAAAATTCTGCTTCTACACACATGATTGGCGAGCTTTGAGTACTCTGCACAAAGAAACCAATAGTGATCTTGAGCTGTCATGAACTTGATCTCAGCATGGCTCACTTCCTAGCCAGGGCCAACCACAAGAAGTCTGATGAGTGCAAGACAGCTGCATTTCAGCCTGATCTTTGCAACTCCAAAACCTAACATACAATTTATATAATAAAATCAAACACTAAGAAACAACAAATAAAAAGCAAAACTAACAATACTCAAACCAATTAACACAAGATAAACAAAAGAGCATTCTAGAACCATTTGTATTGTAACAGTCAAAATCAAACTAGAAAACTAAGCAGATTATAAAGTTCATTCTGCTTCTATCTGGAGAAGAGCAAGATCAAATAAAGTAAAACTTTGAATTGCGAGTAATTTGGTCTGCGAGTGTTCTGCAAGATGAGCAAAACTTTTTCTAAATTTTAACTTAATAAACAAGCGATGTCTTGCAGTACAAGTATTACGCTCGCTCTGCCTGCTGGGCATCACGTCACAACTGAGTGCCAGTTCTTCTCTCTCTCGCTGCAGATGTGAGTATAGCATCGTCCCCCGAGTGCGCCCATGATTGCACTTGCCTCTCCCCGAGCGTGCCCACCTCCCCACTGAACACACCCCTGATTGCATCTGTCTCCTCCCCAAGCGTGCCCGCTTCAAATTTTTGTGATTAAAAAAAAAAGTTACAGAACGGATTATTATTTACATTGAACTTCATGGGGAAATTCGCTTTGATATACAAGTGCTTTGGATTACAAGCATGTTTCCAGAATGAATTATGCTAGCAATCCAAGGTTTTAGTGTATTAGCGTTAGAGCAAGGATACTGAATCCTCCTATCTCTGATAGCAAATATTGTAAATATTTAGCCAAAGACCCATATGTACTCAAGATGATCTCTGAATTGTCTTGGTCTCAAATGTAAGTAAGCCTCCAGTGTTTCCCCGACTATGCCTGAGGAGTAGTGCCTTCCTGAATCTTCTTTTTCTGTTGTACTTTTGGTGTTGTGCATCCAATTTTATACACAGCACTGAGAAAGGAGTAGCTGCTGCCTCTATTGTTAGGGCCATTAAAAGAATTGCACAGAAATACAAGAAGAGGAACTTAGTAGCCCCAATGAAAGCATCTGGCTAAATTTAAAGGGAGCAAAAAATAAGAAAAACATAATTATTGGCATATATTACTGTGCACCCAAAAAGAGGACAAGGATGCAACCTTTGAAAAGCAACTTGCCAGCATTTCCAACATGAATGATATAGTCATCATGCGAGACTTCAGTTTCCCTGATTATATTTGGGAGACAAATTCTGCCAAGCATGGCCCCTCCAAGAGATTCCTGACATGTTGCCGACAACTGTCTCCAGCAGAAAGTAGAGGAAGGTACGAGAGAATCGTTTTAATACTAACAGGGATGGCCTGGTGGACAAAATAACAACCATGGGAACTCTGGGGGAAAGTGACCATGTGTTACTTGAATTCTCAATTATAAAAGGAGACAAAGGGTAACTGGAACCAAACAAGCATCCTGGACTTCAAGAAAGCCAACTTTAACGTACTCAGAAAAATGATAAACAAAGTGTCATGGCAACACACCCTTGAGGGGAAAGGTGTTCAAGAAGGGTGTGAAATCTTGAAAAAGAAGATTCTCCAAGCACAACTACAAACAATTCCATCAAGAAAAAAGTGTAGAAGACAGCAGAGGAAGTCCATGTGGCTCCACAAAAAGTTAAGTGACAGCCTGAAAGAATAAAAGAGCATGTACAGGAAGTGGAAGCAGGGCCAGGCCACAAAGAAATAATGTAACAAATAGCAAGGAACTGCAGGGATGACATCAGGAAGGCTAAAGCAAGAAATGAACAGAGAATAGCAAGGGATGCTCATAACAACAAGAAAACCTTCTTCAGAGCAAAAGACATGAGAAAGAGAAGGGTGCCCAGCTACTTAAAGTGGATGGCAGAGTGATAACAGATGACAAGGAAAAGGCAGAGGTGTTCAATTCCTACTTCACCTCAGTCTTCTCCCACAAGGAAATGTGCAAACAAGTGGAAGTACAAGCTGAAAGTGAGAGATGGCAGCCCAAGATTGACAGAGAAATGGTCAAGGAATACCTAGATGGAATAAACACGTTCAAATCTCCAGGGTCCAATGAACTCCATCCCAGAGTCATAAAAGAGCTAGTGGAGGAACTCTCAGAACCACTGGCTATTATCTTTGATAAATCTTGGAAAACAGAAGTGTCAGATGACTAGAGAAGCGCTAACGTCATCCCTCTCCTCAAAAAGGGGAAAAAAAGATGAACCTGTGAATTATAGACCAGTTAGTCTGTCATCAATCCCTGGAAAAATTCTGGAGCAAATTATTTAAAAATCCACCTGCAAGCATCTCAAAGAAAATGCAGTGACTAATAGAAGCCAGCATGGATTTATCAAAAATAAATCCTGTCAGACTAATTTGATCTCATTTTTTGACTGGGTAACCTCCCAAATGGACATAGAAAACACCGTGGACATAATCTACTAGACTTTAGTAAAGCTTTCTACATAGTGCCACATGACATTCTGATAAGCAAATTAGCAAAAAATGAAATAAATGGGAAAACTATTAGGTGGGCACAAAGAGTGCTCAACAATGGCACCTTCTCAAATTGAATGGAAGTAACTAGTGAGGTGCCACAGGATTCAGTCCTGGGCCCAGTGCTCTTCAACATCTTTATTAATGATTTGGATGAGGAAGTACAAGGAAAGATAATCAGATTTGCAGATGATACAAATTGGGTGGAAAAGCAAACACCCTATAAGACAGAATGAATATCCAAGGCGATCTTGATAAACTTCAACACTGGGCTCAAAGAAACAGAATGAGATTCAGTAAGGACAAGTGCCAAGTTCTCCACCTAGGAAAAAGAAACCAAGTGCAGCAATACAAGATGGGGAATACGTGGATCAACAGAACTGAAAAAGAAAAAGATCTCGGACTAATTGTAGGCTAAACATGAGCCAACAATGCAATGCAGTCACCAAAATGGCAAATGCCATTTTGGGATGCATTAACAGAAGTATTACTTCCAAATCACAAGTAGTAGTAGTTCCTCTTTACTCCTCACTAGTCAGACCTCATCTGGAATACTATGTACAGTTCTGGGCACCAAGATTTAAGACTTTAAATGTAGGAAAATTAGAAAGGGTCCAGAGGAGGGCAACAAAAATGATCCAGGGATTGAAAACAGTGCCCTATGAGAGGCTGAGAGAACTATTCAGCCTTGAGAAGTCTGAGTGGGGACATGATATCCCTCTGAAAGTACCTCAAAGGCTGTCACAAAGACGAAGGTCAAGATCTCTTCTTGCTGATGCCAGAGTGTAGGAAATGGGATAATCATTTCAAGTTACAACGCAGATTCAGGCTGGACATCAGGAAAAGCTTCCTCACTGTCAGAGCAATATGACAGTGGAACCAGCAGCCTAGAGCGGTGGTGGGCTCTCCCACACTAGAGACATTCATAAAGAAACTGGACAGCCATCTGAGTGTGATGGTGTAACTTGGTGTCCTGCAATAGCAGAGGATTGGACCAGATGGCCTTCATGGCCCCTTCTAGCTCTACTATTCTATGATTCTATGAATTTCTACAGTTTCAGATATACTAAATGTGCAAAAAGTTTCATATGGTATTGAACAAGAACGTATTTAGTTTTAGTTTTGATGTTTTTACAAAATTCTGTAGTACAATGTGTGATACAGCTATTCCACATCCCGAAGAGCACTCTGAGATACAAACCTGTAACAAGCAAATTGATTTTTAAACTCATCTCTGGGCTGTTTTTTGAGTTTCATATTGTTGTTTTTACCAAAATGGTGTAAAGGCTGTGGCACCATTCCATCTTCAAAGGACACTCTTTGCCTGGGCTTGTGTTAATTGTCTTATATGATTCAGGATGACTATCAATTTACTAACTGACCAGCTTCATGGACACAGCTTGATGACAATCTAATAAATTGATTAGGCAATTTTTTAAGGAAAGAGACCTTTTGAACTTTACTATGGCACTAGCAGTGATATGATTAAAGAGAATAACTGGAAAACAAGAAACTCAAAAGAAGAAATGTCGTCTCTTACCCAGCGTCTTTAAGAAGATCTAAAAATGCATGAAACTTTTGAAAAGAGCTCTCAATGCTGCCCAGAACTCCTTCATCTTCCAGAATTGTGCTGGCTACTGACTGTGCATGGAGAACTTCTGACAGAGAGCTGTTCAGATTCCGTAATCTGGAATTTTCCACTTCTAGCTACAAGAAGCCATGAAACAAATATGCTTTACTACTAAAAATGTCTCTTTCCAGACACTTGGTATTGACAACCAAGTGCCATCATTTTAAAATGTGGGCATCCGTGGCACTTTGGATTCACAGTGCACTTCCCTTCTCACCCAGGGAAAAGTGAAATGACCACAATTTAGGCAGCTGTAACACTTAGAAACAATGGTGGACTGTGCACCATAAAGCCCATGTGCTATATTCTGAATACTGAGGATCTATTGAGATGGCAACTCATTTTCAGATTACTTGATCTTAAGGAAAATCTTAAGAGCTGTGCATGGAGAACTTCTGACAGAGAGCTGTTCAGATTCCGTAATCTGGAATTTTCCACTTCTAGCTACAGGAAGCCATGAAACAAATATGCTTTACTACTAAAAATGTCTCTTTCCAGACACTTGGTATTGACAACCAAGTGCCATCATTTTAAAATGTGGGCATCCTTGGCACTTTGGATTCACAGTGCACTTCCCTTCTCACCCAGGGAAAAGTGAAATGACCACAATTTAGGCAGCTGTAACACTTAGAAACAATGGTGGACTGTGCACCATAAAGCCCATGTGCTATATTCTGAATACTGAGGATCTATTGAGATGGCAACTCATTTTCAGATTACTTGTTCTTAAGGAAAATCTTAAGAGCAAAAGTCACCATGTTAGCCTTATACCTCCTATCACTGCAGTTACAGAAAAAGCTTACCATAGCTCACTGTAGTAGCCAGATCATACAAATCATCAGAAATGTACCTGATGCCATCATAAAAATCTTTGAGACTTTCTGCTGCTTAGGTAAACTACCAGTTTTCTCAAAGCAAATACAGAAACTATACTGGATGCAAAAAGGAAAAAGAAAAACAGAATAGGGGGAAAGCAAAACTTGCCCTCACCTTGGGTTTTTGGCTCAGTGAAAACATCTAGACACCTAGCTGTATACCTATAGAGCATGACTGTTAAGATGATATACTGCAGTACTGTTGCCACATAACTAATATGTGTAACATAAGCCCTCCAACCCTGACATACACACACACACAAATCACTTACTGGTTTCATATAAGGACCTCAATTGAAAATAAGCTGTTGCCTCTTCTTGTCCCACCCTCAACCAACTTTATATACTCATTTAAGCAGAGGTTATACTATAAGGTGGAGTTCAAAGGCTTTGAACAAAAAGATAAATTACATCCTCCTGCATGTCGATGTCCTTATGGCTTTAAAGCTGACAAACTGTGAATGCCTGGTTGAATTCAATTTGGAAAGGCTCTAAAACCTAAAGTCCTAGATAATTCAATTTTCTGCTGATATGTGAAAAGGACTGGAATTCTATTTAAAGTGGGACTGGCTAGATTATTTAACTGGAGTACTGCTCTTAAAAAAAAAGGAATGGTAGGAAAGAAATGTGTATTACCTCCATTATCCGTTCTTCAGCAGTAACTCTTGCTTTTCGTTCTTCTTTTAATCTTAATTTACATTCTTCATAATCCATCTGTCAGAAAGATGAAAGCTGAGCTTTTGAGGTACTTACCAATATCATTCTATGGGCAGTTTAGTGTCTTTAGCTAAACTTGAATAAGTGTCTCCTTCTGCATGTATTTATTTAGAAATTTTATATTCTCAACAATTCTTAAAGTATTTTCTGCTCTCAGTCAGAGATTTTGCACAACATTACACATTGTTTAATCAAATTAAACACACATAATATTGGCCTCACTTTATATAAAATGGTATCTCAGATCTTGTAAATCTTAGGGAATATAATAATAATGTTCTCTTATTTGTTTCCATCATTTGCTTTCAATATCTGTAATCCAAGGAAAATTAACAATCACTCTGCCCAGACATATGATATAAATGTAAAGCCAATTAAACTAAGTATCACACAACTATTATTTACAAACTTGCACTCTTAAATAAACCTTTTATATAGTAATTCCTTCAAGAAATGTTGATTCCCTCTAGTGGATCTTGTTTGAAATAGCATTTGCCATGAAAAAAAAAAGTCTACAAAAAAGTCATCACTTTGGAAGCAAACCATAGAGAATGGCTGTTAAACAGAGATGTAAAATCTAACTTCTCCCACTGTATACTAGGATCTAGTATTTAGCTAACAAACTGAGTAACACATGAGGCAGTCCATGTCCTACAGAAAATCTCTTAGAAAGGGGAGGCACTTTGTTTGTAGAAGCTCCCAGATTAAATCAGTAGCACTGACACACCTAAAAACTCTCAGAGATGAAGCTGCAGGGGGTGGGGTGATTGGTGGGCAAGAATCTCTGCCTAAGAGTAGGGACACCCATTGTCAGGGCAGACAATTCTTGCCTGAATAGATCAATACTCTGAGTATAGCGCAACTTCATACACTCATAAAGCTTGTCTGGTTGGACATTACAAAAAATTTAGATTTTGTTTTGTTTAACACCTTCTGTTAAAAAAAGTAAGACAGCCAAGGCATTATTTCAGAAAAATGCATTCTAAATTACAACTTGTCCCATATCACTTGTATGATTGGGTTAAAAGACACAATACAGAAAAGTTTGTCGAAGCAGTGCAAAATAATCCAATTATGTGGAGCCAAAGTGCATGGCAGACAGGGAACTTTCCAGTTTTTGTCAGTGTACCTCCCAATGAAGCACCTTACTCCATGGTCTATTGCTGTTTTGGCAGCAAAACTTAAGGGAAGTCCCAAAGGGCTGTTTGATTTCTTTTACAGAGTTCATCTGGACTATATATTTGAATTTCATTTCTGAGATTGTCTGTGCAAAAATCAGCATTCAGGATGCTTTGTAGAGCAAAAAATTAGGGATTCTTTGTAAAATCTATACAGTGTCTTTCAGGGTAATCCTCAAGATGGCTCACAGAAGATGTAAAACCACAAAATGCAATTAATTTATAAAAATGAAGGACTGAATAAATTAACAATTAAAACCCAATAGCACCATATAGACTGGGGTGGCCAGATTTGCTCAATGGAAGAGCCACATATAGTAAATGTCAGATGTTTGAGAGTCACAAGTGGGTGTCCATGGGCGGCAGTGGCAGGTGGTGAGCAGCAAGAGCAGGTGCCTCTGGGGGGGGGTGGCAGGTGGTGATAAGTGGGCACCCACAGGAGCATGCAGCGAGCTGCAAAATAATCTCAAAGAGCTGCATGTGGCTCCTGAGCATCAGTTTGCCCACCCTTGATATAGATAGTGCCCAATGAAGTCTTGCCTCAATTATAAGCCACCATGAACAGTTGAGAACAGGGCTTGCTTGAAGACCTGTACTGACAGGGCCCTGTGGACATTGGTTGGACCCAAGCTCTATATGCTACTACTGAGAAGGCTCTATCTTACTCTTACAGACAAGCAGGCAGGCAATTAGGGTCCCCAGTGATGATTATGAAGTATGGACAAAGCCCCATGTATAGAATCACTGAATTAAGTCAGTCTTTTGTAAGATCTAAGACAGCAATTATACCTGTAACTGCTGGCATTGTTTCAGGTTCATTATTTCTGTAGCCTTTGGAGGATCAGTTTTACAGACAGCATCCTCTATGGCACCATCTGTCTCTGTTTCTGATGTAGAAGCACTTTCCACTGTAACTTTCACAGGAATACCAGCCTGTATACATATAAGAGGCATGGCAAGATTATACATTATTATGTTGTATTTATTGAATGATTATTGTAAGCCACCCAGAGATGTGCAGTAATTGGACAGGTTAGAAATATCCAAATAAATAAATAAACACATACATACAATTAGATCCAATTATATTAATACTTTTCTTTTTACAGGTGGATTGTGAATTAGGCATCTTTTCTCTAAGTTGGCACAGAGAATACCCCTCTTCCACAAACCAAGATAACACTGTGCTAGTTTCATAATGGTAATATTTATGTTAAATTCTCTAGGCTAGATTAAGGAAACATCTGAGCATTGTTAAAATAGCCTTAAAATGTATTTTACAAAACTAATGATAGAATGATAACCTTTGGGTCTCTCCATGGCTCATATGATCCTGCTTGGGTAGCTGGCTGAGCTAGGAGTGGAGATACCTGCACTGTAGTGGGTCTGCTCCTACTTGGATGGCTGGCTCCAGAAGGCAGGGCTTAGAGAATTTTATTCAACAAATTCTCCAGCACTGTTATTTTATGGTTCAACCTGTTCTAGACAGGGTTCTACTCCCCTTCAAGGTGCAGTTTCATAATCTGGGATACTCCTAGAACCATTTTTGTCACTTGAGTTTGAGATGGTCTAAGTGGTATGCAGTCCCTTCTGTCAGCCCAGCCATGCTGCCATCTGGGCAAGGATAGCCTAGTTTCAGCAATCTAAGTGATATTCAAAGCAGGTTATTGCAATGCTTGGACCACTCTTTGTCAGCATCCAGGGTGTGGGCAGCTGGGTATCAGGTTGGGGCACTAGGACCCAGACCACTGGTATGATATACAGGCCCATTCCAAATCATAGGCAGTCAAGACGGGTAACAGAAGTGAAAGGTAAGTCAAACCAAATAGAGCAGAGCTGTCAATGACAGTCAGGAGTCAAAAGCCAGAGAGACAAGCCAAGAAGAAGTGGACACCTGGGATTGCAGCGGAAGGCGGAACAGGTAAAGCCGGGCATGGTCCAGAGAGGCAGAAGCAAGGCAACAGGCAGTTTCCAGAAAGCCCAAGGAGCTCCAACAACATAAAAAAGCCTTTATTACTGAGGCAGCATCTGAAGGGAAGAACCAGTTCTTGTATAGCTCTTCTCTCAGGACTTCCAGGTGGTGCTCATAACATCCCAGGTGGCTATGATTGTCTGTGGGCCCAGTCAAGCTATTCTAGTCTCTGGCCAGAAGAGGGAGCCTTTGTGCTGCCTCAGAACCTCACACTCTTGAAGAGAATTCAGAAGCTGCAGCTTGTGCAAAATGTTGCCACCAGATTAATAACTGAGGCCAGAAGATCTGCACAAGTAACATTCATTCTGGCCTGCTTGCAACTGACTGCATGTTCCCTTCCAAACCAATTTAAGGTACCGAACCTACGCTCTAAAGCTTGAGATGGCCTGAGGCTGTAAAATCTGTTGGAGTGCTTCTCTCAACCTAAATCTACAGAGACAATGTTCAATACTTGAAGCCTTTCTCTAAGAAGCATTTCTGAAGGAGGCTTGGTTGGTAGTGACAAGGAAGAGGGACTTCTCAGTGCCTGCCCCAAGCATGGAACAAGCTCTCCACTGCGGCTGACCACCAACTCTGTAATCCTTCCAGAGTCTGGTTAAGACTGACGCCTAAGTTAAGGCACTACATGGTATACACGGGGCTCATGTCTTTGTATTTAATTTATGCTTTTTGCCCAGACAATGTCAGCTATTGACCAGTGTATTAATACCAATTATTCTTAACACTTAGTAGAAATCACGTTACCTGGATGTGCAATGGAAATTCATGAGTTTTCTTCCCAGATGAAGCCCTAAAAGCAAGTTCAATGTTTTAGGAAAAAGGTTACCTTTGTAATATCAACCCACAGATTAAATGAAAAAGTGAATAGAATTTGATTTTATCCTGAGTATTTGACATATAAACAATGCCATGCAGAAGTATTCACACACACAGTGTTGCAATCTGGAATTGAAACAGATTTGACTGGCACTGTTACCACTTGAGGTACACAGGATACTGAACACTGTGAAGGTGCAAAATGTTTTTTAATGTGACACAAAAGTCAAGCTAACAAAACAAACTGGCACTTGTTGCTTGTGAGAATTCATCCCCTTTGCCATGACATTCCACCAGTGTGCAATCCAATGCTACATCCTCTTAAATATAAAATACATTTTTTCTGGAAGACCCTAGAATTTGCTGGAGATCATGTCTAAACAGTATCCTGAAGACTGAGGAGATATCAAAACAATGCTGAAAGTTGTGCAGGACCAATCAGCTTTGGTATTTAAAAAATCCAAACCTAGAGTGTAAGCCAAAGTATTGTTAAAGCCATTATTACAAAGTGGAAAGATATGGCTGAACCAAGACTCTGCCTGGAGAAGTCAACCCATCCAAACCCCAACGCCCAGTAAGTCAAAGCAGCAACCAAGGGCACAATGGTGACTCTTGAAAGAGCTTAAAATATCTGGGCTTTATGGAAGAGTTGTTGTAAGAAAGTGATTGCTGAAACAAACCCATATCAAAGCACTTTTGGGGTTGGCAAAAAGGCATGTGGGAGATCCAGCAAACATGTGGAAAAAGGATCCCTGCATGAAATAGGGAAAAGAACTCGTGTTTTCCATGAGCATCAGAACTTGGTCCGACTAGCTTCATACTTCACACTTAGCTACAATTTATTTAAAGCAGGGATTTCCTCTGGGCTAAATGGTCATTTGCAACAGGGAAATACACAGAGAATCTATATCTGCTTGAGCAGTATTCATGAGTGATGAGAACAGTCACTGCAGCATTTATTTTATATGTAACAAACAAACAAACACATCTCAGTGTATCAAGACTTCTTTCTATCCCACAGAAGCAATGCAAAACAGTTATATTTGTTATCTAAAGAAATCAACAAACAAACTTTAGGGCACTCAATAGCTTAAAATAATTTTAGCTATTGATCATCATGCAGTGGTGGAAGGCACTTAGCCATCTATTTCTTTTAAAAATGCAGTGTTAAGAGCCCAATGATAGATTCATAACGTTAACAAAGTGCAATTTGGCAACTGGAAAAACAGTAATTTCTCCTTCTGAGACTACTAGTTTGCCTCCAGCATCAAAGCCAGAAGTACAGTTCCCCTTACTGGAAGGTTAGGTGACACAGAGGCATCAGAGAGGAAGGCAACTGAAAGCTATTCCCTATCACTCCTGTTCTAAGTAGAGGGTCAATATGGACTAAACAGACTAATTGTTGGCCTGTTTTTCTTCTTCTTAAGCATAACCACCACAGAAGAATTGTGAGACACTGAAAAAGATTTTGCCAGAAACTTAACTGGCTTGGACCAAGTCAAGTTGTACCAAGCACAATACTAAATGAATGGTCCCGCCAGTATAGTAACCACCAGTATAAAAACATCATGTGAAGAGAAGCTGCTAATTCACTCTGAAGGCAGTATTAAGCAGTGGATCCGTAAGAAAGGTAATGAAATGGGGTAGTAGCAAACCGGTTTTAAGTGACCTAGACAAATTTACTGCTTCAACTGTTCCCTCCCTGAAACAGGACCTCAGTCAAGAGGCTGTATTTTATCTCACCAGATGAGTGAATGTTTGAGAAGTGGCCACATGAGTCCTCACACAAGCAGAAGAGAAAGGAAGTGGACTTCCAGAGGGGCTTTCTTCCTACAAAAACATGTATGGGGGCGGGGGGAAAAAACCAGAGGCCACAAAAAAACTATGTTCAAAACTACATCTTCATATCTGAACCTTACTATCCCAAGAATCACTTTTTTTTTTGCCTTCTCTTAAATCATTATGATCCTCAATATTTGCATGCTATGATTTCTCACTGCCTCCAATATACATCACCTGCGTCGCTTTGCACGTTCAGCTGTGCGCCAGGGTAGAAAGCCATGTGTATCTGGGGGTAATGCTTTTGCAGTACAGCTGTCTTGATCACATGAAATCATCTTACCAGGACTTAAGGATTTTTTGGAAGAAAATCCTGTATCAGACAAAAGAAATTGTTATAGTTAATGCACAGGAGGAAAAAAGTACAGTTTAGAGACAGAAATGGCTGAAAATTGGTTTCCACTCTCAGTCCAAAAACAACAGGAACAATCAATTAAATAAGAAAACAGCCCTGCTGAACTTATTTATTTATTTAAAACATTTCTATGCCGCCCCCATCGCAACAAAGCCTCAGGGCGGCTCACAAAAAATACACAAAAACATACATAGACAATAACAATATAACAATTTAAAAGGAAAAAAAAAACATTTAAAAACCCCCCGGTGCATTCTCGGCTAATTTTAAAATCCTAATAAATACAATAATTTAGTAATTAAAATAAGTTTTAAATAAAAAGGTCTTAGCCTGGCGCCGAAAAACAAATAATGACAGCGCCAGGTGGACCTCTCTGGGGAGCACATTCCATAGATGGGGCGCCACCGCAGAGAAAGCCCTCCTCCGGGTACTCACCCTCCTAATATCATTCACAGAGGGTTCCCGGAGAAGGGCATCTGTTGCTGATCTCAAGGGGCGGGAGGGCATATATGGGCGCAAGCATTCCTTTAGATATCCAGGTCCCAAGCTGTTTAGGGTTTTATAAGTCACTTTATAGGTCACTTAGCCAGAATGTTTTCATTTCTTAAGTTTTAGACTGGGGTGCAGAAATTTAGGCCTGTATCTAAAACTGGCTTTCCTAGAAGACCAAACCAGCTTTCCATTTGGTGTCCCCAGATTCCTGTACTGCCTGCTCCTGGCCGCCAATCAGTAGTCACCTGATCTTTTTCTGTTCAATTTTTCCTCATTCTGAAAGGTTGAGATGCCTCTCTTAAGGCTTAGCTACTGGCAGGAAGAACTTCAACTAAAATATATTGGTATTTATATTTTGCAATGTTCTCTTTGCACGTGGGCCACTCACCACTGGAATGTGGTCCCTGAGAGGATCTCCATAATGGAATTCAACAATTGAAAGGCTGTTATAGGATATAGTGCATAATAGGAAGCTAGCTCTCATGCAGTTGCAGTATCTGGACAGATACCAATAAGAAACACTTCTCTTCTTGCCTCTTTCTACTACATAAGAGCGCATTCAGATGAAAGGTTATTTAGCATGATCAATGAAAAAAAATGTGCAAGAATTCTTTCTTAATGGATTTTTTTGCAGTTAGGGGATAGCAAAAGAAGTGATGGAAAAACATGGGTTACAAACTGAAGCCTATATTTGGTTTCCCTATAAAAGCCTCACCTAAAAGCATCCATCGGCTCATTGGATGCTTTGGGAGGATTAATATTTGCTTACACAAGGATATGCTTTTACAAGAATATTTCACAGAAGAGCAACTATTGGGGCAAGTCGCATAGCAAGTGCATATGGCACAACAAGCCCATCACCCAAAAATTATTCCACTGCAATTCATATTCCAGTCATTAGAGTATGCTGTTGCTGAAACCCAGTGAAAACTATAAATATGTAGTTTTGATGTAACAATTCTGTTACACTCAGATGCTATGGGGACTTGATGAATATGTAAATAACTTCTTAGTACGTTAAGACTGCAGTTGTGTGTCCACTTTTATTAATGTTTATATAGAAAAAAGTCCAGTGGTTATACCCAAAAGTCATCATAAATGTTAAAATAATCCTATACATGTTTACAGAGCAAACATGTTCAGTGGGATTTATTCTCAGGCTAAGTGTGCACAAGATAACAACCTTAGTCTTTTATTTATTTTATTTATTTAAAACATTTCTATGCTGCCCCCATCGCAACAAAGCCTCAGGGCGGCTCACAACATAAGTCTCCAAATATCTCACACAGTACTTTTTCTATACTTACCTTTGTGTCTCCAAATTACTGAAGCAGGAGTAGAAAACATAGCCAAATAGAGAAATTAAGTAAGATCAAACATTTTGGGTAGGCTGCAATTAAAACACTGAGCTTCAGTGCCTGATTCATTTAGAAATGATCATTTAAGGTATCTTCCATACCCACTGAAAAGCTCACATTTAGAACAAAAAGTTGTAGTTGCAATTATAGCCTGAAAATAAGCTGTGTGTAATAAAATACTATTTTATTATCATTACATTGTATTCATAACCTGTCTTTTTCTCTTGTGAGAGGAATCCATCTTCAGCTTCTCTTCCACTCTATTTCAATCCTCAAAACAACCACCCTCTGAGAGAAGTTAGGCTGAGTGTGTTTGGCTCAAAGTCATCCCATGAGCTCCATGACTGGTAAGTACTAGAACCTGGATCTCCCAGGTCCCCAGACTAACACTGAGACTCAGTGGGTCTCAAGACCGGAATTTAACTCAAGACCTGAAAGGGAGGCCTTTGGCCTGATGGGTGGGATAGAAATATTAATAGTAATAATGCATATGGCTAGCACAGACCATGCCAAGCCCATACAAATAGAATGTTGGACTTCAACTGTCCTGTTCCCACATCACACATTTGAGTCAGGCATCAGCAATAAACAAAATATTTAAAATAGAAGGCTCAAATATCTGTAAACTTCCAGAATGCAAGCTCTATTTACTAAGCTGTATGTATATATAAAGACCCTTTACAGCAGGGGTCCCCAGTGTGGGATGCCCTCTCCCCAGGGGATGTGAGATTACGTTTCAGTGGGTGTGACAAAGTGGAAGGCTGCCTCATGATTCGCCAAACTTGACAAATAATGACTTTTTCACCAAAAATTAGCCAAATATTAAAATTATTTTGGTTGCATTTAGATTCAGTTCCTTTTTGTCAATCAAGACAACATCTAGGAATTGCCTGAATCCACAGGAAGACTTGCAGATTGCAAGCAGCAAGAAAGTTCCACATTTTGACAAAATCGTGAATGAGAAGCAGGAACAAAGTACTCATTTAATTTTACATTCACAGCTGGGATTTATTTTACTTTGAATATACTGTTTACAATTTTTTTTCTAATTGCTCAATTTACCTTTGAATTTTAGGCACTGAGTTAAAAGCTTATTTCAATTAGTTCACCTGCAGTACTGTATGTGGTTCCATTTGTGGTTCAAAAATTAGAAATTCGGCTTCTTCATTTTCAAATTGGTTATTAGTTTTGTAGGGGGTATAAACACAAATAAAATATTTCCTTTGGGTGCAGGGCTTAGAATAGTTTGGGAACCACTACATTAGAGAATATCTTAAATAAGCAACTCATTAAGCATTTTGCCAATTTTTTTTTTTACAATTCCTCTTTTTTTACACTATCAAAAATATTACCATCTATAAGAAAGTATCACATCACAGATGCATCATTAAATTTGTGTATCAATTCACACAAAAGCCATATGCTTACCTATACGAATAGTAGCTTTTCCTTTCCTGCCATTTCCCAAGACAACTGTTCTTTTTTTAGGTTTATTTTTAACATCTTTTGGGGATGGAGATGGCAGCCACTTGTACTGGAACACAGAAGAAAAGCTGAATGTGCACATTTTGAAGAGTATGTACTTACTCATATTAGAATTACAGGATGCCAAAATTAACATGTCATTGGCAGACTCAATGTCCTTTTTATTTGTAGCCACTTACTGTAAATTCCAATCCTCCACAAAATTTCACACAATAGCACCATAGACATGTTACAGCAGAGAAATACAGAAACTTGTAGGAAGCTACAAAAAGCCTCATGCATCATTTTGCCTGTCATGAATGAATAAAACCAGTAGACAGCATTACAAATATTTACTCTAAGAAAATTTGTTTTTTATTATCAGAAAATTTGATTATGGCATTTTTACCTTTTGTTTATCAAAATATGTTGGGATCACAAACATTCAACACCCTTTATGAATGATTATTTTTAAGGTCTTAGCAAAATACTATATAATGTCTTCACAGTATATATTCTGATTTTCTCATAGCATGAATAACTAATTTCTGAAACAGCATAAGTATTTGGAATTAGAGAAGCAAAATCCACTTGACCATTCCCACTGTTTTCTAATCCATACAACACATGTATAACTATGCAAGATATTTCTACTTTCTGGCTATTTTTCCACTGTTACAGTTTCTGGGACTTTGCATCTGCCTATGTCTTTCTCTAAGATCTTTAAGCAAATAGCATCTCCAGTGATCCTTCTTTGATAATTCTATAATGGTTCCTTCCACAGAAGCAGGATATCTGGGCATGGCCATAATTACCAGCTAGTGAAATACACTCCAGAGTTTTTAAATTAAGCACCACTCATTCTGAATTTCAAGGCCTGATAACCAAAGGATATCAAAGATCCCTTTGTTGGCTCCCCTTTCTTGGTTTACTGAGGAACACAGAGATAGCTAGAACAACACCAGTGGGAAACCTGAAGCAAACCTCATTAATTATGCCACAAGAGTATATTTCCAGACAGGGTTATTATGTCCAAAGGACACTTACAAGGCAAACAATCCACACTTTGCTCTGGGAGTTTTGCCTGATGCTCCATGAATAAAAATCACTCAAAGTGAGTCTGATTTGGATACAGCAAGGAATCTATACCAGAAGGAACCACAGTTTCTTGGAGTATCTTAATCAGTTCTCTTAATGATACTGATAGGGTGACTGGGGTTGTGAAAGTTACCATACAGGAGATAGGATTACTCAGTATTTAGTTGAACCATGGGGTGACATCATTCAGAGCTTTGAGATTGTGTGCCAAGGCTATCTCAGTTTAGAACAATTCAGAAGAGATGCTAGTGGGAAATGCTCAAGAACTGGACAGAATTACTATGTTTACAGATGGTTAAAGGCAACTGTCTCACTATGTGAGCTGGCAAGGACTAGTTTGATCATCCTGAAAAACAGCCTCATAATATTCTGAAATTTAAAGTACCTGCCTTTATTAATCATGAATGTGTCTTGTAATAGTAATTGTAATATTGTCTAAAATAAAGTTATCAGGGCTCCGAGTAACTCAAGTAGGAGGAACCATTATTATCCAGTAATTTATGAATTTTGCCACACTATTCAGCAAAATCTGCCTAGACTGTACCTCTGGATTAGTTCCATCTGCATTCATAAGGACTTTTTCAATTATTTTCTTCATTAAAGCATGATCTAAAAAGAATTAATGAAGGTATTAGCATTTTTATGACAAGGTATTTAAAAAACAATCCACCCACTGTGTCACTCACTTGGCCACTCTTCTGCTTTCTAGCATGAAGAAAACACTTAATATTATGGGACTGAAATGCTCATACTTGCAGCTTCAATTGCTCCCCCTTGCATCCAGCACACGTCAAAGCATATGTGGAGCCTAAATAATTTTTCTCCAAAGTTAGAGTGCTGCTGTATATAAAAGGCTAATGGGGAGAAAGAATAAGAACAAGTCGTCCAATATTCTAGCACTGCTAAACAAAGTTCTAGATTTCTGGGTTACTAAGAGAACAACTGGTTCACCTGTTTCCACTGCTAAAGGGTGACTCATGCTAAGAAAGCTGCCACTTCAGGCAAAACATTTCTATTTCCCCCTTATACACATCTGTTATTCACTTCCTTGTGGTGGTAGATGGAAGCCAGCAGCAGAGATGCCTAAGGAAAGAACTTTAACACAGACTTGTCTCTGTTCATGCCAGGAAGGGAGAGGAAATTAAAGAGGTCCTTCTATCTCACATTTGAGGAAATGTATTTTAAGTGATGGTTCTTCAACCCTTGCTCAATTCAAGTAAAAGCCTCTGATAAAAGTCAAAGCCATAGGAGGTTGATGCTATGCCTCTGACAAAACCTGTTCAGCAAGCCTTTGGTCTTGCCCCTCAAAAGGTAACTTGCTATATAAACAGAACATGGAACTTCCCAAACACTTGGGGGGTGGGGGGAATGACAACACTTTTATCACATGGCCTATAAAATGTACCAGACTGTTTAAATGTATGAATTTTTCTGCTTTAGAAAGAGAAGCAGAGTTTGCATACCTACTAATGGATTTTTTCTGATGTCTAGAACCACTAGTGTTGTATTAGTCTTAAATGCGTCCAGGAATGATTTTGCTCCCTCATTGGTAATTCCACATTGCTGCAAATCAAGTGCTAGAATATTAAAGAAGGTTAACATTACTATGGCATAATCTGCAAATATTTAAACAGAAACTTATGAACATGTATTTTCTTGACAGAAAAGCAGGTACAAAACAAATCATTTAAATAGAACTTGAAAAATTAACAGATGTAGTCACAGCTGTATCTGTAACTAGTACACACCTTTTAACCACAGATCTTCTCCAAGGCATTCAGCTAAAATCATAGCACCTTGGTCACCAATAAGCGTGTTGCAGTTCACAGTGATCCGCCTCAAACCAGCCATGCAATCCAAGTCAGGTCTCCTATACCGCAGGCTCTCAGCCCAAGCTTCACCATGTCTTTTCATTGCCTGGTGCTTGAAAAACAAGACAAGGAGAGCTACTGAAAAGGCTAGTTAGGTAAAACAAAACCTGAAGGACCATTATAGTGCTGAGGTTATTATGAGATAGCTAGATATTAAACACATGATAATGTGCTACATTTAAAATTATTCTTTACTGCGTGAAGTCAAAGGGTTTGATAAAATTGTTTGTTGATAAAAGCCAACATGCAGAGTTTTGAAAGTTTTATCTTGCTGTGAATGTCAAACATAACTAGAAAATGTTTTGCAAGTTACATTAAGATTTTAATTTACAGTAGTATGTTGGGATGTGAGCATTTTTTTGCCACTAGAAGTTTTTCATGCATAAAAGATACTGGTATTCTCTCAAAGTTATTAAATTAGAAGAATAAACACTAAAAGTACAATTTGAAATACCCTAAGGACTAAGTTCTTCTACATTCAGGATTTATTTCCCAGGAAACAATCCCGAAGATCATGCTGAAGAAACTAAGTTCAGCATGTCCATAATTGACCCACCAGTTACCATTATTATAGCTGATTTTCAACTTTAAAAATGTAAATCTTCTGGTAAGACAAAAATGTCTTATAGATGAGCTGATATGTAAACAGAAGAGACAGCACATTGCAACAAGGCAATACGTGAGGTATTCTTAGCATTCTGTTCACATATAAATGTTGGCCAAGAATTTTATTTATATAAGAGATATTTTTAATTTGCTTTTTGAGTCACACTGCCCTCATAAGATTGCTTTTCAATATTAGAAAAATGTAAACATGCAGTTATTATTAAACACACAGACATCAGCAGCTAATGATTTTAAGTACTAAATGCAGATTGGAATAAATGAGCTTTTAGGATGCATGTGGGGGGGATTCCCCCCTTTCAAAACCAGTAGTGACAAACCATAGGTGTCTCTCCAGAAAGCAAGCTGCAAAGGTGCGGGTTCACTACTAAGAAAGCCCAGTCCCTAGTACCTGCCATCTTTTGCTGGTGGGCCAGAGAGCAGGGCCTCTGATTGCTGATCTTACTGCTTTGGCATGTTCGTTCAGGTGTGTGCAGCCCTTTAAATAACAAAAGGTCAAAACCAGAACTACAAAATGGGCCCAGAAACTAACAGGCAGCCAATATAAATGATAAATAAAATGATTTGAGCATATAGATCCTACAGATGTTCTAGCTGCTGTGTTCTGTAAAAGTTACAGGTTCCAAAAAATCTTCAAGGGCAGCCACACCTAGGGTGCATGGCAATCTAATCTGGATGTAACTCTGGCTAGATCAGTTTACTTTCGATAGGCTGGATCAGCAGCTGCAGTCACCAAAAAGCACCTGCTGCAATATACATCACCTGCCAGTGCGGTATAGTGGTTAAGAGCATGGGACTGGGACTTACGTGATGTAGGTTCTAGCCCTCACTTAGCCACGAAGGAAACAGGATGACTTTGGGGCAGTTCCAGACTCTCAGCCAACCTACCTCACAGGTTTGTTGCCGTGGTGATAAGACTGAGAGCAGGAGAATTACATAAACCACTTTGAATTTGTTGCAAGAAAAAAGCTGGATATAAATCAATCAAATGAATGAATGAATGAAATTATTGCGACCAGCAATATTCCAGGACTGCTCTTCTGAGGGCATATGACCCCATCCAGAACCAGACTGAAACCTCCATCCAGATTAGCAGACTTTTCCAGCCCACAATACTCTATCCTGCCTGAATTAAATTTCAGCTTCTTCACCTTCATATAGTCCAATAATATACTAAGACACCAATTCAGGGTTTCAACTGCCCTCCCAGAATTAGATGGAACAGAAAAAAGAAATGCATCTCATCTGACAGCAATGATACCTCAAGTCCAAACTTCCAAATTACTCCTCTCAGTAGTTTTATGTAACTGTGGATAAGCATGAGGGATTAACAGAACTTGAAGAACCCTGAATGTCAATGGTCAAAGGGTGAATCAAAAGTCACCCAGCACCATTTGTCCAGGAAGGACTGAAGCCACTGTAACTCCATGTCCCCATATCCCATCCCAGAGAAACAAAAGAATGAACAATGGAACTGTAAGCCATTGAGAAGTCCAGGAGATCCAAGAGGATCATCACACTCCCCCTATCTATTATCCTGGCACAAGTCAACCAGCATAGCAACCAAGGCATTTTCTGTTCCACAGCCAGATTCACATTATAAATCCATCTTCAAAAAGACTTTTAGGAAAGCAGGTTTTACCTTCAAGATGCTGGCCATGTGTTCTGCTCCTCGCCAAGTCAAATTACATCCTGTAAAATCTATGGATTTGATGCAAGCTGAATTCTTCACAGCCTGACAAATTACTGGAAATAAAAAGAATATATGTCACTATTTAAAAAGCTACAGTTGCCATCTTAAATCATTTATAATGAAAAGTGCTGGAAGGAAAATCTAGGTGGTTCACTAAATTACATTGCTACCTACTTATTTACAGTTCTTATTACACAGTGGGGGCAGGAGAACCAATTGTATAGCAGCTTTGACTCATGGAGATCTAGCTGGATCTGGTTTACATGGCCTATCTATGTTAGCAAACACACACTCCATGTAATATGGACAAAGGTTCTCACCCAGCATGGCATTTTCCATTCCTTTCACTTAAGGTCTTCTTTCTCACTGATCAACAACAGTTGTTATGTGCTAGAGCCCTCAAAAATCCACTACAAGAGTTGTGTTCCTATGGAATAGCACATGCTATTCTTGCAGTTTCAGAACTATTAACAGGATATAGCTTTTGAATACCAAAGAATGATTTTAAATGATAATTTCACAGCCAAGATATAACCAGCTGATCAAGTATACCCTATCTACAATGGGAATCTTTTCCTGTTCCAGCAAATAAATGAGAGAAATTAATCGCAAGGATGATAGGCAGAAGAGAACCTATTAACTGGCAAAAGGGTTTGCCCACTGTGATGCCTTTGCCCCAGAAGCCAACATGAGCCCAACAGATTCGGGAGCCAGCAACCATCTTTGTTCTCTTGTGGGTTCCCCACTAACCATTCAGCTTGAACAGCCAATCTTTATTTTGCTCTATCCAAACAAAGTCATGCCTTATAAGCCACCTGAGCATCGTGCCAGGTTTAGAAAACATGCTAAGCCATTTTAACTTCATAGACAGTGGTCTAGTATGACATTAAGTTCCAAGTCAAGACTCCAAGAGCACAGAGCTTCTGCAAGGGTAGAATACATCTTGGTTCTTGAAGATACCTAAACTAATGAGGAACTACTAAAACTAGGGTTAAAGCTATATACCACCAGATATATAAACTGGAGCAAAGCTATATACAACCATCCCTTAGAAGGCAGGCCTTAAAGTGCCACCTGGTGGTCAATTTTAGATTTTATATATTCTTTTAAGGTAGAATGCAAATATACATGTGCCATTATGGTGAGAAACCACTAGCTGCTTACCATTACATAAGGTTAGGGTTTGCACATCACAGCTACCCAGAATTTAAACAAATCTTATGTAGCTGTGAATAAGCAGAAGCAAGCGAGCTGACTCCCAGCCATCTGTCATTGACTCAAACAGTCTAGGTTCATCTATAGGTTTTTGCTCATGAATGCAGAATAGTTCCTCCTCTAACAATCCAGACCTGTACCAAAGGTTGATATGGATCAACACCACATCCTCTATTTTGGATTCACTTAGAGATGTGTAGCTACACCACACTGGCACATAATGAGAGTGCCAATGTGGTGTAGTGGTTAAGAGTATGGGACTAGGATTCAGGTGATCTGGGTTCTAGTTCCTGCTCAGCTATGGAGCCAATCACAGACTCTCAGCCCAATCTACCTCACAGGGCTGTTGTTGTGGGGATAAGAATGAGAACAGCAGGAAGAGAATGGTATAAGCTTGATCTGAGTTCTTCAAAGGAGAAAAGGTAGGATAATAAATAAAGGAATCAGACAACCACCCAGAGACATAGCAGATTGTTTCAATCAAGCAGCTAACAGGGAGCCATGATATTGGGTACTACACTTGTAACAGGTACAAACCTTTGTACAGAATAGCTGTCATAATGCTACAATAGCTAACTCTGGGTAGTTTAACTCCTGAACACAGAGGTTCTGAAATAAGAAATAAACCAAGAAGAGGGCATGCCTATGCTGGTGATTAAGACAGGAAATAGCTCTCATACTCTTCCTGTCTCCAGCTATTTCAGGGTTAGGCAACCCAGGAACTGCTGCCAAGATGTTCAAACCAGGGCACTGCACCTGAAGTTAACTCAAATTATTATCTAGAAATCAAAATGGTGTATGACCACAAGGGTTGAGAGAAACCCTTTCAGAATCTGTTCCTCCAGAACCCAGGGACATCCTCTTGTGTTTGGCCCAGTCCTACAAAATGATCTGAGCCAAGGAAGTCCAAAACACTTACAGACCTGTTATACAACTGGCAACCATCCCAAGCAGCCAAACTTCTTTCCTGCTTGATCCTGCCAGTGGCAGAGGGGGCAGAAAAGAGGCATGGCAAGCAGGCATGCTGGCTGTCATTCCTGGTAGCCAATCTTCTTCCCCATTCACTGCTGCTAGTAGCAGAGCATGAAAGAATGGTGTTACTTGTGCAATGTGTGGGACTCAATTCCTGGTGAGTGCCCCATGAACCCTCACCAGGAACTCAGAGCCCGGGCCACTGTAAAGTGGACTAAAGCCCAAGAAGCCAAAACCAGGGAATTTGGCAGTTTTTCCACACAGAACATTAATCAAATATTCCTATTTGTCACCTTATCAACATTCAGCCTTCAATATATTGCCAAGGAAAAAGTTACTGACTATACCTGAACCTAACAACTGGGGTTAAATTTCCAGTTTTGAGGACTAGTTTAAACAGCACAAGATTTATTATATTGTTTAACTAATTACAAGGTTTTAAACGCTTCCAGCAGAAGAAAGTTGACATACACTAGTAACAGAAAGCCATAATTTCACTTCAAATATAGAAAATGTTTTATCACAGTAAAGAAGATTGATCAAGATTAAAAAGGAAAAGTTTCATTAACTGTTTTTTGCAACACTACTGAAAATGGACAAAATAAAATTACAGTGCTTCACACATGCATCTATTTTTCTTTAGAAAATTCAGAACTTACTTTCCAAACCTCCATCACCAATTGGTGAGTATGCTAAAGATAGTCTCTCTAAAGATGATGTGTTAGCCAACCCCTTCAAAACAAAAAAATATTGATAATTTTAAGATGGGCACAGAACAGCAGTACTCTCCTAAAAACACATTTGTTACAATAGTCTTACTTTCGTCAACAATATTAAATCTTTTTCTCTCAAAAGCAGTCCCTGTAGTTCCAGATTTCCCAGGGTACTTGATATCATCAAACAACCTTTGATAGCTTTACATAGATGGCCTGTCAAGTCTTTAGATCGAATTGCTGGAATTCTTCTTCTTATATGTGGTCCTGGCCGTTCAACACCTGTCAAGAAAGAAAGTAAATTAGATAACTTTTAATATCAGTATGCAATCTTGAGTGTCACTGCATACTTATGTATGTAACAGTCATCCACATGACTGTATGTAGCAGTCATCCATGTACCAGTCATCCACACAGTGTAATTCCTTCGTAGCAACAATACTGAGGCCAAAGGCATTCCAAAACATAAGCAGGACAGTAACCATTTGCATAATTCTTCCTCCATTGTTAGTACTTGGAGAAATAAACACTAAGGAACAAGGGATGCCACAGAAAAGCTATAGAAATGGGAACTGATGTGGTTAAAGTACAAAATCAAATAAAAATGCAATAACGTGGGGGGGACACAATTCTTATATTAAGCCTCTGTTTGTTTGCTTTTAATTTAAGACAACAAAATGAATTTGTTTGGGGTTTTGTTTTTGGATGCTTTAGTGTTCATTTCTGGAAACTCCCAGGGAAAACAATGACCCCATCACATGATTAATAGTTTAACTGACCACTACCTGAATCTCCATGCCCTTGATGATGAAAGCTCCTTATAGCAATAGATGTCAAAGTCTTGTTGTGCCTGACAGCATTTAGGAGGGGTCCCCAGTCAGCAGCTCTGATACGATCCGCATTTAGATCAAGAACACCATGAGGCGTCTTGGCTTTCACAGATGCTAGAGGGGCACAGCCTTGAATTGCACAGAGGTGCTCATAATGAGAGTAAAAATCCAGGCTGCACTGTCTTCTTATTCTGACGGAGTCAATCATTTCTAGTCATATGATGAAAAGGGATACAGAACTAGAAGAAAAAATGAATTAATATAATGCTATTTTAAAAGCTATACACAGTATCTGACATATGCAATATTGAATTCACCAGAACTACAGCTCTGTTCTGACATTATTTTCCCTCAAGACTGTACCATGGAAGACTGAAAATATTACTTGGGCATTCATGCTTCTTTCCTTGCAGGATGAGTGTAAATTTTAATGGGAGACTTTTTGCTTCTTTGATGATGGATTCTTTCCTGGCCATGAGGAGTTAAAACTATCTTAAGGGTTACAGAGAACCTGAGTTACAAATACATATATAGTCTCATGGTTCTATATTCAAAAAGGAAATGGACAGTCATCTGAGTGAGATGGTATACACTGGTGACCTGCAACAGCAGGTAGTTGGACCTGATGGCCCTCTTGGCCCCTTCCAACTCTACCATTCTATGAATCTATATTCAGAGTGTGGTAGGGAGAATGCAAGCTCAGGATCCACTCTGAATCTCTCTCTGGGTACAATTCTGTGGAAATGATTTCAGATCAAGGATATGATGAAAACTTTACAATACCAATACTCCAGTTCTCCCAGGTATCACAAGGCGATAGTTTCATAAATTGGCAATTAACCAAATTCCTTTCATGGGAACCAAGCTAAAATATGTGATAGAATGTGACTTGCAGAATTATGAGTATGAAATAATAAGACAAAAGTAAATGCAACAACTTTTAGCTATAGTGAGGTGGAAGTGTCCTGTAAATCTCTTGGGTTTCTGAGAAAAGTTCAGGAACAAGGAGGGACTGGAATAACTGGTGAGAAACACAGCCTAGGGGAAGCATGAAGAAAACTGAGAACTATAGAATTGAACACACAGACAACCTACTACAGAGCAAAGCAAAATAAGATCTGGAAGGAAACAAATGCCAAGAGAACATAAATGAAGAAAGAGAAAAAAGATGACTGCTTTCATTACAATGATTTCATGTGATTATTCAGTAAAAGGGTTTCTATTGCTTCAGCATGTGCATTAAGTTAATAGCAAGAGATCTATTGATTTTTTTGCTATTATTTTACATTGTTGCAGATCTAACAGGGAGGCAAAAGCAGTCTGAGTGGCAGCTGTGGTTTTTCCAAATGGCCATTATATCAACCAAAAAGCTCCTACATAGAATTGGCCATACTAAAAGTTTTGCAATGCACATTTACAAACAGTGATTTCTGTAAATGACTAATCATTTGGGTAGAACCTCTACCCTTCAAACTCAGTAAGAATTTTACTATGCTTCTTTACAAATAAAGTATTAAAGTGATACTAAAACAAAATGAGAAGAGAAGATCTATGAACAGGAACATCCTGAATCTTGTGTAACCCAGGTCTGGTGCTCAGGGTAGGGGTTGTGCTCCCCTATCCTGTTTGAGGACTTGGCAAGGCAGCTACTGAAACTTAAGGGCTGGAGAGATGACCTTTACATCGCTGTTCCCTAGTGCTCCTCACTTGTGTATCAGGGGCTGCTCATAGCATCTTAAGGTCTCAATAGGTAGATGATAAAAAAGTGCAAATGAAACTCTAGTGGAAATATTAGCACTAAGGTATTAAAAAATATAGCTAACATTACCTAATATGACAACAACCACCTAATAATATCAACAAAACTTAGTAACAATAGAGAGCGAGTGTGGTGTAGTGGTTAAGAACGCTGGTCTGGAACTCGAAAAATCTGGGTTCTAGTCCCCCCCTCAGCTATGAAGCCAACTGAGTAACTTTGGACAATCAGACTCTCAACCCAACCTACCTCACAGGGCTGCTGTTGTGGGGAATAAGACTAAAATCAGGAGAATGATGTAAGCTGCTTTTAATCCTTTAAAAAGGCTGGATATAAATCTAATAAATAAATGAGCCCCTGAGATTTCACATCTATATTAATCATTAAGCTCTTACAACAAAATTGATTGTGTTATGAAGGTGTTTCTGACAAGTAGCAAATACTTTCTGTCCTCAAATATCATTCAAATTCCTCTCTCTCCACCAATGCACACAAGTTCAGTATCTAATTTGCCCTTGTCCATGTGAATGTACATTACCCAATGGGTGCCAAAGTAAGACCTTCACCAGTGACTTGTTAGATTTGTAGATTTTACCTGTTACCGTAAAACCTAGAAATAAAGTGTGTGCCTAGATACCCAACAGTTCCTTGGGGATATGTAGCTCAGGCACAGGTTTCCTTGCCCATAGTCTTCTTGGATTCCACTATTCCCATGCTTACACGCATTCGCTGTGGATACACTGCTCTCCATCCTTCCCAGCCCACATAAGCATCCAAAACAAATTGCCATGTCGGATAGACAGCAGCGAAATCCAACACCTGTCTTTCCCACAAAGAATGTAACGAAATGCGGGGGTGGGGGAGGAGAAAACGAAAAACTTCATCTGTTGAATGTCTACCTATTCGACTACGAGGTGTTTGTACGGGAAGGCAGCCCCAATCTAATAAGGAATGGATCTCTAAGGGAGGGGGAGGAGGAAGGCGAGCAAGAGCCGCACAGAAGGCCGACGCCATCCCGCACGCCCACGTTTTCTCCTCCATCCCAATGCACGCTCGCCAACCGCCTCACCTGCAGGACGCCAGTCTTAGGCCCCGCCTCTCCTTTCCGCGCGTGCCACTGTTTCCTTGGTTTCCCAACCGTTTCCCCCCCCCACACACACGACTTCCCCCACGTGACCGAGCATGCACGCTCCCTTATTGGCTATCCGTTCACGTAGCGGATGCCTTCAACAACCCGCTCATCTCCGTTCAGCGAGTTTTTTTTTTTTAACCTACAATTTCTCACCATTCTGGATAATCTATCTCCAGTCAACACACACTAAATTACCTTATTCTCGGGTGGGGGCCGCGGTGCAAATCGCTTCCGCCCACCTAGACCACCACGCGGAGGCTTGCGAACACAACGGTAAAGAGCCACCCGCCTTCAGGGACCCACCGGTCCTGTCCTTTCGCTCAACCACGCCCCCATCCTAGGCCCACCCCGAGCATTTCGGGCTGGGTTTCCAGGCGCAGCTTGATGCGCATGCGCAGTGGCAAGACCCGAAGCCGTCACTAGCGGCTTGTAGCTTTCCCACTGTTTCACTTGATGGAGTACTAGATTACGTTTTCAGTCCCAAAATTTTACATGTCTTACTGAAGTTATTTCTAGACTGCCTTTAAGGGGAGGCGTCCCTTTCAACTCTACCTCAAACCCCATTGCCAGATGCATTCCCATCACGCACGTACAAGCCAAGAGTTCAGAAGTGTTATTTTTGTAGTTCGGTATTGAAACTCCTGGTTGCTGACCTCAACTTTACCAGCAGTGCACTGGCATGTGTGCCTAATTCAGACGAAAGAAGGGGGGGTTACAGATAAGAGTGCATAGAATTGCAGTTATAATGAGGAGGAAACACCGGGGACACTGAAACTGAGGAAATGTGTAAAAGAATGTGTTCTAAACCTAGTTCAGTGGGCTTTAGAGTGGTTTAATTGTAAACAACGTGAACTAGTAAATAGCAGCAGATGGAAACAGTACTGAACGAAATCTTATAACCTAATGAATATATCAATCCAGAATCGTATTGTTTTTAAACATGTATACATTTGGAGCCCTTGTGTATAGGATTGGTCTTCTATTTGTCCCTAAGAAAACAATCATAGGCATGTTGTTGATGTTCAGTTGCAAAGTCGTGCCGACTCTTCACTACCCCACGGACAACCTTCTCCCAAGTTCTCCTGTCCTCCACCATCCCCTGGAGTACACCCAAGCCCACACCCACCTCTCCATCCAGCCACCTCTGCTGTCCCCTTCTCCTTTTGCCTTCGATCGTTCCCAGCATCAGGGTCTTTTCCAGTGAGTCCTTTCTTATCATTAGGTGGCCAAAGTGAGCTTCAGCTTTAGTGCCTGACCTTCTAAAGAGCATTCAGGGTTGATTTCCTTTAGGACTGACTGATTTAATCTCTTTGCAGTCCAAAGGACTCTCAGGAGTCTTCTCCAACACCACAATTCAAAAGCATCAATTTTTCAACACTCAGCCTTCCTTATGATCCAACTCTCACTGCCATACATTACAACTGGGAAAACCATACCTTTGACTATATGAACTTTTGTTGGCAGGGTGGTGTCTCTGCTTTTCAGTATGCTGTCTAGATTTGCCTTCGGTTTCCTTCCAAGGAGCAAGTGTCTTTTAATTTCTTGGCTGCAGCACCATCTGCAGTGATCTTGGAGCCCAAGAAAATAACATCTGTCACTACCTTCATTTCTTCCCCATCTGTTTGCCAGTGAATGATAGGACCAGATGCCATGATCTTAGTTTTCTTAATGTTGAGTTTGAAGCCAACTTTTGCACTGTCCTCTTTAACCCTCATCAAGAGACTCTTTAGTTCCTCTTCACTTTCTGCCATTAGAGTGGTATCATCTGCATGTCTTGCAATTCATCTAGCCCAGCCTTTCATATGATGTACTCTGTATATAAGTTAAATAGGCAGGATGACAATTTACAGCCTTGTCAACAGCAGAATAAACAGCTATCCAGCTCACACTATTTTATCAAGAAATGCAATATGGATCAAATTCAAATTTAAACAATGAATTCATAGTGTCTAGTATATACAGTTGAATTCATAACAGCCTTTGTCTGCTTTCTATCCCACTGTTAACATATCATCCATTCACTTTCCCTGCCCATTTATGTGCTATGTCTCTTCCTAAATTGCAAAAATGTGGTGAGGAGCAGTATCTATAAAATACCTAATCAACTTTTACCATGTTTCCTCTCTCCCTTCCTCTGTAAACGGCAATATTCACATGTGATCACAAATGCTGTAAGATAAGTTCAAGGCTTTATGCATTCTTACTAAGTAAATGAAGATGTATTCAAACAGATATATTCATTTAGAACTGTGCCACAAGGATTGCAGTCCGATTTTGTGCAGAGTTAGGATGCCAATTTATGTACATGTGCTTGGATTGCAAAAGTTGGACCTTGCAATGAGAGAACAGAGTGATCTTGCTAAGGCTTCTTGTGTATGGATGGTTCTGCTTTAACTATATGCAGAGAATGTATGAAGGAGCCTGTGGCATGGTCAACATTAGCCCCACTCCCTGAACAGCACACAATTACACAAGTCTGAAGGAAGTCACCTCGGTTGTACAAGAGATGAGGAAGACTGAACATGTGTGAGTTGGGGGATATGGGACTGCCTGGCTGAGAAGGGAATGGGAAAAATGTATTATATATATTTTTATAATGTATTATATATATTTTATATATATTATTCTCCCTAACATGGCAATCCTCTACATGGTTCCTGAGAAGGAGGTTCCATTGAGTTCTGTAGGGTTTAGTCCAAAGTAAGTAGGCCTTGGATTGAAGGGTACGATCCTATGCATGTTTGCGAGGAGGGAGCTCCATCTTCTAGCAATATATAGGATTATACACTAAGAGCATGATTCTATGCTCCCCAGACATTTGTGGGGGCAAAGAATAATGCAGATTCCTATTTCTAAGGTTAGAAACAGAGTTTCAAACTTGAAGTTGGGAAACTGTGCTCTGATACTGTTCCATCAATTTTGCAGCTGACACATAAAGAACTGCAAGTTGTACCCTAAACTAATTTATTTTAGACTCCAAGCCGAGCTTTGGGTGATTCTTCCCATCCCAGGAGACCCCAAGTTCCATCTTAAAATGTTCAGGAAGCCTGACAAACCTCCAGAGAAATCTTTTCAGGCTTTTTAATTATTAGTCGGTCGATCTTTATTGTCCATACCCGTAGGCCACCATAAATCCAAATAAACAGTTAATAAAATGCAATAAAATGTAAACAAATTTAAAATACAAAATAACTATGTAATAATCATGAAAAGTATAATAAAAATATGGTCATTTTTAAAAGAAAAAGTGCAAGCAGCAATTAACCTTTTTCCCCGAAAATAAGACCTAACTGGAAAATAAGCCCTAGCATGATTTTTCTGGATGCTCGTAATATAAGCCCTTCCCAAAAAATAAGCCCCAGTTAAGATCAACAGCCAGACAGACACATTTAGTACATCTGTTGCAACACAGTACGGGGTTTGGAGAGTTACAACGATATTCCAGAAGAAGATGACATGACTGTATTTGAATAAATGTAGATTTTTGTACATGAACAAATGAATAAATGTAGATTGTTGTAAGTGAAAAAATAAGACATCACCTGAAAATAAGCCCTAGAGCAGAGATGGCAAACCTTTTAGAGACAGAATGCCCAAACTGCAAACCAAAACCCATTTATTTATCGCAAAGTGCCAACACAGCAATAAAAGCTGAAAACCAAGGTTTTAGTTTAGAAAAAGCAACTCATACATTAACATCTCTCTCTATAGATATATCCTTGGCAGCGCACTGATGGGCCATGTGAGAGCGCGGACGAGTCGCCGCTAATGAGTCGCAGCTCGTGATGTCATTGCCTGGTGCTGCCACTCCTTTCTGAGCATGCGCATGGCCCGTATGTGGCTATAATCCGATGCTCGGATGCTGGGGCGATACTGGAGCGACTTGGCATGCATGCCGACAGAGAGGGCTCTGCGTGTCCGCTGTGGCACGAGTGCCATAGTTTCGCCACCACTGCCCTAAAGCATCTTTTGGAGCAAAAAATAATGTTAGACCCGGACTTATTTTCAGGGAAATACAGTAGAATGGCACAAGCAGAACTGCACATCTGTTCCATGGGAACAAATACAGAATAGTTATTCTCCATAAATTATATAGAACTACAGGGTACTGCCTAGCTCTTAACTAAAATCTGCAACCTGGCTCATATACATCATATACATAATTTTCTGTGGGAAATATACAAATCTAAATTTTGCAACCAAATAAGCAGAAGTCAGAGGTATAATAATTAATAAAAGATTTTTCTGGTATTTTTTAAAATCAGCTAATTCTAAAGAAAATTAATTTTAAAAACATTTTAACAAATTACTAAATTAGTGTGCGATAATATTGTAACACTAAAATAAGAAAAACAACTTTACAGAATTATTATATGACACTTTTTATTTCAAAAGGCCTAGCCAGAGAAGTATTAACATGAGAATTAAAATTTTGAATTAAAACTTTAAAAAACCCCAAAATGCTCCCTCTCAAAGATTATATATTGCTGAGCTTCAAATGGCTTACAAACAACAAGCAAGTCTCAGCCCCTACTATGGGCAGAATACAATGGAATGAATAAATAGATAAAGTACAATTCTCAAAAGCAGTGGATATCAGTGCATCTGTAGGCACCTTCAAAGGCAGATGTAGAGAGGTTCACAATGTTGTTCCCGTGGGGCCCCGATTTTTTTAAACACAGCTCTGAGTTTTTAAAATATATCTGCATGAATTTATATGAAATGCATAGATACAGTTCAACTAAAGTATTTTGTACTATGTTTATTTATTTATGTGAGCCGTCCCGAGGCTATAAGCGCTGAGATGGCGTACAAAAACTCTAAATAACTAAATAAAGTGGACCAAGTATCTCTCTGAAGATGGCAGCTTCTATGGTGCCTTCTGAAATACTGAAAACATTGAAGGTCTTCATTACATTATAAAAGATGAGTGCTTATCCTTCCATTGTTGTAATATCAGTTTCTAATGCTCAGAATAGCACTTTCCCCTTCCATTAGTTAATTTCCATGAAACAGGTAAATAATTTAAAAGTTTACGTACATTAGTGAATATTAATAGTTGTTCCAGTACGGGATTTATCTATGTAATAGCCCCCCACAAAAAGAGGCAACAACTGAACATTGCCAAAACAATGATTAAAAGAAACATTTGCTTATTACACTGACAAAAATTAGCTGGATTAGATAATCCCTCATTAAATAAGTGGTAGCCCATGGATAGAAAGCAAAAGTTTTTGCTGGATAAGATGTAGTCTATGATCTATGGATGTAACAGGTAGATGCCAAAGCATAAAGTA